AATACTACCAATAATGATTTTCGTCGTTATAGCATATTTCATGCCCAATATGTCCAGCGATTGTGTGGTTTATCTTCATAAAATGGCGCGAAAACATACTCTAAAGTATACTTGAGTAATGCCAAAGGTTAATGCAGTCAGTCCAGATATTCCCCTAGCTCCAATAAACAAGGTGATTTCCATATATTTACTTTACGACGGTATGACCGTAATTTTTTTTTAAATTATGAAATTATATTAATGGTTTAGCGCTGAATATGAATGGAGCTAAACCAAACCTTATATCCCTAATATAATGAATTCCGATCCCCTGGTTGACGTTTTTACATAAACTCGATACATTACACTTTGCCTCTTCGGTTGAGTTTATATCACATCAAATCATATCTCATTTGAAGATGATTTTAGTATAATTTTAGCTGACGCGAAGGAAAGTATAGGAATAAAACTAAGTGAGACTATGAACCATTATAACTTAATAAAATACCAAATTTGAATGCAATCCATTCACGATTTGCTGTTTTTCAATGCTGAATCATGAATAAATAAAAAAAATTTGCAAAATAAAGAAAAAGAACAAGAAAAAACGTTAACAATGCCCTTCACATATACAAAGGTTCCTTACAAGAACCTGATTCCGATTTCCGCAGTTATATGATATAGTGATCTGTTCTACACAATTTCTTCGGAGATTACATTGTTGCCTTAGAAAATAACTCATGCAAAATTTCGTGAAGATATTACGTCAAATAAAAAAGTTTCCCATACAAGCACATGATTCCGATTGTTCAGTTTGTATGTCAGCTATATGCTATAGTGGTCCGATATCGGCCGTTACTACAGAAGAGTGAGGGGCTAGTATATATACAGACAGACGGTTATAGCTAAATCAACTCAGTTCCTCATGCTGATCATTTATGTATACATGTTATAGGGTCTTCGACGTTTCTTTCTGGGTGTTAAACTTAACACACTTAATATGACCTGTTCAAGGTATAATAATGTTTGGGGTGGACTACACCTAACATATGGAGGTATAAGAAATAGATGTTGGCCGATTTTCCGACCTACCCGATAAGCACATCAAATTTCATCAAAATCGATCCAGCCGTTTCGGAGGAATATGGCAATAAACACAATAGAACAAAAATTGTAATAAGACTTTACATAATGTATAATTAGCTACAAAAAATGTCACGACAGCATATAGTTACGGCATAATAAGTGTTCTCTTAATTAAAATGCCGCTCTGTAAAATCTCTTTATTTGTACCTTGGTATTAATCCTTATCAAAATTAGTTACTTCATATTCCAGACTTATTCAGTACCTTATACAATTTTGAATTATTCGATTCGGACATTCCATTTGAAAGATATCACGAGTTTAAAAATGGAAGTATTAGAAAAAAGTCGCGTGGGCGCTTCTCATTACGTTCGGCTAGGCTACAACATAATATACGATATAGGCGTATCAAGAAATAAATTGCAGCGCGGCTCACTCGCGCAGTTGGCGGAATTGAATACATACATATATGAGGCCCACTTTCCCCAAGTGGGATGGCAAATGGAGTGATCTGCTAGTATACTACAAGTATATGCAGAATATGCAGAAAAAATTTGACAGTGATTAGATCACTTAACTTCCAGTAATCGCTCAAGTATATTTGAAAAGTGTGGTTTTAAGAAAAACCACTAATCTAATCGAACTCAGCGCCTACACTTTAGAAGGCTGTAACACAAAAAATATTTGAGATATTGATTTAAGTATGTTAATTTTAAAGATATAACCTATCGAAATATGCCTATATTATTTTTTCTCAGTAGGTGTGCCTCCTAAATTGTCGCGTATAATTGAATAATATATTCTCTTCTATAATTGAACTCATTCACACCACACTGTGTTATTGGACGTTAAGACTGAACTGAAGTTTTTGTAGACAAAAACATAAAGTAGAGGTTCCAAAGTGTTATACGTAAGTAATTTTTCTCTTTGTAACTTTCTCCTGTTCCATAGGTGAAATTTCATTGGGAATCGAATCCATGTCCTATGGTCGAGCGTACATGTACCTACAATATTGTTGTAATAGTAATATAAAGGAATATTAACTTATCATTAATTTATCTCATTTTTATTGGATTGAGAAGGCACGATCCTTTTTTGTGCTTTGTTGTTAATGAGAGGGAGTTGAAATATATCCAAGTATTCATGCATACATTAGGGTGTTCCTTAGTTGTTTATTCTTAGTATCTGCAAATTCTACAGATTCCTGTCTTCCAAAACAAACTGAAATTACTAAAATCAGGTGAATAATAATAAATTTATAAAATGAAATATACATCAAACACGGTTAGAGTACTTCAAGTACATATCTTACTTATGTGTACTTCATTTTATTGTGAATGTTTATATTATTATTGAAGAGAGACTTTTATATTAAAATTATTAATATTGTGTTTAAAATTTAAATTTAATTTTAATTGTTAAGAGCAGTCAAGTATGATTTATTGTTTTATTTTTTTTTAAATAATCTGTGCCGACTTGCGCGATATAGTTTTTTCTTAATTATTTGTTAATATTCTGTTATATTCTTTAATAAGTTTTATGTTACGCCACGTTTTGCAGTGTCGTTTACTACTTTTTTTTATTCATAATTAATTCCGTATCATCCCAGTATAGAGAATATATATTCATTTAGAAATTGAGGAAATACCAAATCGATAAAAAAAATCAATTGTATTCACAGTTACGAAATCATGGATTTTTCTTTGTCGCAGTTGTCAATGTTTTAAATTTTTTGAACAATCTTCTTATTCGCAGTAATAGACACATTTTCATCAAACAATGCCATTACATATATTATATATCGGCTTATTTGCGCATTCTGTTAGCTTAAATTTTTCACAAAATAGAGCCTTCGATATGCAACTTACATGATAAGTAGGACCAGGTCCACCAAATTTTATGTTATCGCTTGTTCCTAAGCATATATGCAGAAATTAAACCAGTAATTCTCTGTAGTCGTCCCTAATTATTTTCGTTTTTAATTCTTCTTTAAAAAAGTGCGTAATGCGATCTTTAGTAGAGCAGAAACATGGCTTGGACTATTAGATAGAGACTAGGTTGGTGGTCGTAGTATTCTGTCACCTGAGTATGCAGGGGTGTTACCCTGCAGAAATGGCTGATAGGCTAATGCCAAGGCCGCATCCGTTCCGTTAAAACCATGGCAGGCCTCGGAGTACGTTCCCCTCCTATCATCATTAAGCTGGTGTGGTAGGTGTTTGTTGAGATGACTCCTTCTTTGCGCAGGTCGGCTCTGAAAGCATTGCCTCATACAACATAAAGTAGAGTGGGAATGTGTTCCATTCGAAAATGGATATCGATCTTATCCTCTTTGACGCGGTGAAAACGGGGTGCGGATCCACCCGACTTCAGTCTCGAACGCCTGTTCGAGGAGGCTGAGTTCGATGGTGCGGAACTCGTATTGCTGGAGAGGAGTTTGGAGGATGAAGATCCTTCAAATTAACCTTCAGCCCTCAAGCCCATGGAGAGTTCTAAACGACCATTTCTTTTCGATCATAAATATATTGGTTTTATAGGGAAAATTTGGGGACTTTCACCAAAGGTGGTGTTCTGGCTCTACTAAACCCTAGTGAAGCCAATATTGTGTTATGGCGTGTTCGTCTGGTGGAGAGCGTTCAAAAGGGCTATACTTGCTAAAAAGCTTGAGCGGGTTCAAAGAGATCGGAATATCCGGTTCACTACGGACCACACCAACAATAGATCTTAAAGCTATTCTAAACATAGCAAATCGGGACATTTCCTGCAGGTGCATTGCTGCGAAGTGTGCTCTAAGGCTCAGAAAAGCTGGGCTTATGCAGAGGTCCGAACAAGGACACGCCGAAATTCCCTCCCCCTTCAGCTGAATTCCTGAAAATTTGGACCACTACGTCACCGAGGTCATTCGAGGCGGCTTTTTCTCTGCTTTTATTCCGACGAGGGAAATGTGGATGGAAAGAAGCCGCTGGAGAGATTTTTCACGGATGGGTCGAAACTAGGAGGAAAGGTTGGAGGGGGGTTTTCTGTAAGGAGCTGACCGTCAATCTTAGCTTCAGGCTACTGGACCACTGTAGTGTTTTTCAGGCGGAAGTGGCTGCTATCAAGGTGGCGGTTGAAGTACTGCTGTGTATTGAAGCCTCGTTTGTAGAAGTGAGCATCCACTCCGATAGTAGGGCGGCAATACTAGCTTTGAGCGCGCGAACCGTGCAATCAAAGCTAGTCAAGAAGTGTCTGTCCTCACTAGAGATAGCATCTGGCTATTTCAACATCAGGCTCGTTTGGGTGCCTGGTCACAGCGGAATCGCTGGAAAATGCAAAGCCGATGAGCTAGCCTGGGGGGCACCCTTGCCCCGCTCACATCGGAATGGGTCGAGTCGGATCTCTATTCACGTTTTGCGTTCTAGCTCTGAACCAATGGACCTCGCGTGCACTCAGCAGACGCTGGTCGACGACCAACTCCTGTGCGACCTTCGCGGTCCTTTTGGCCCAGAGTGGAGCGCAGAAGGTCTGGGAAGCTTCTCGCCTTGAGCAAAGTTCATCTCGCCGCTATTGTAGAAGTTCTCACTGGACACTGTTCAATGGGCACTCATGTGGTACGGCTTAGAATACTACCCGATGCTAGTTGTCAAAGTTGTATGGAGGAGGGTGAGGTGGAAACCTTTAGGCACTTTCTCCTCCACTGTCCTGCTTTTGCAAGGCTGAGACTGAAACATCTCGGTAATCACATATTCGGCGGACCAGAAGACATAGCCGAAACAGATATTGGCAGTCTCAACAATTTTGTTATAGCCACAAAGCGCTTTGTCGACATGTAAGGGTCTTTTGATCCAGCTTTGTAGGAGGTTTTAGGTACCACAACAGATCGGCATTCAAGCTGTCCAAGTGTGATCCTTCTTGGGATCGACCTCCTAACCTAACCTATCTTTAGTGTCATTTAGAATTGTTTTATTTATAAATTTAATTATCGTCATTTTGTAGCAAATCTTTGACGCTTTTTATGTTAACGCCCTTCCAATTCGAAAACTGCTCTCAGTAAAAGTTTATACATATGATGTCGGTAAGGCAAATATAGTAGTTTTCGTTCGAGTTGCTTTTTTTTAACAATGTTGCAACCCCTTTAATTATGCCCGTTTTTGTCGAAATTGTATCCAAGCAACAGGCTACAACGAGCTCTTTTAAATTCCATTCAAATAAAAGTTCATAAAATGCATCAGCGATTTTGGAATCAGTTGCAGCCGATAACTTCGGTGCTCTTATTAATTGTTCACCGGTTTTATATGAAACAATTACCGTTTCGTCGTTCTACTTTTTTACGGCCTGTTTTTTCCGGTAGGAGTTTTCCATCTAAATGCAAAGTACCGCGGTTCATCTATTAACAGAAATTGCAGTACAAATTTCATATTCATTACCATCTCAATTTTAAGTACACCACTTACCATTAAGTTGTTTTTGATTTTTTGCGACTTTTTAATCCAGCTTAAATGTATTTGCCGCTGCAATGATGTGCAATTTATTACCAATTCATTTGCATTATACCCCAGAGAGACGGCAACAATGTGCATAGCCACCATTTCATTAAACCCACATTTTCATTAAAAAGTTTTTTTCCTCGTTTGCTGATATAGGGGCATTGGATAAGTCTGTACTCAATTTCGCTTTCTGAAGTTGTTTGCCGTCATCACTGCTTGAAGACAATGCGCAAGCTTTAAATACAAGAATTAAGATTTATCCTGGTATTTCTATAACCTTATGCTAGAGAAGATAATTCGCTCAACCGAGCTGATCCGCTCAGGTACTATATTTTACAAGAATATGCAATTACTGTATGTAGTACAGCAGGGTAGAAAGATAACGTAGTAACATACAAATACATACCCTGTGTGTTAGTTACCTACCTATCACTGTGTATTGTTTGCCTTTCTTTCCAACTTCTGCATAGTTTTAGTATCAATTCCACAAAGACATCCTGGTCGCTCCTTTTTACGTTGGTTTATTAAAAATTGTTTGTCGGATTAAATTTTAATTATTTCTAATGCATTAATATGAGCAATAACAAATAAATCATCTAATTTTTCACTAAGCGATGTTGTTCACTTTTAGTTGGAATTTTAGCTTTTTTCCAAAACACAGACGCTTCCATTACAGCTAATCTAGCATTTTCACGTATTGATAACTTCACTATATTATGATTGTAAAAAAACTGACAACACTTGTTTTTTCGATCGTAGCTCTGTACCAATAATTTGAGAACACTTCGTACCAATTAAATAAATTTTTAACCGAAAATTATATCCATTCATTTTGGTATAATGTATAAAAATTGCCTATGCGTCCCCTTTTTCTTCGACTTCCTTCGACGGCGTCATTAGAAAAGTGACTTTCTAGCAACACGCAATTTGATATTTCAATAAAAGTAGTCCCGTTATAATGTCTTCAAAGTAAGGGGCACCTACTAGTATAAATGTATATGGACATACATGTAAAGTACATTACGCCTGCTCCTCCATTGGGCTCTTAGTGAACTTAATAGGAATATATGTACTACTTGTATTTAAAGAGCACAGCACTTAACGAATTTGCACATACATATTTGGAATACATATAATATATATTTCTATAAATGTATGTAAACATATGCACATAGTATATATCCGTATTCCGTGTAATTGAATCGTATGAACTCACACACTTTCTTACGACTCACCGCGAAGTTTTACGGCGCAACACGTACAAAACACATTCTTCCTTATCACCCACTTTCCTGCACATCCGATGAAGTGGAGCGGAAGCAAAAACGAAAGTCTTAATCAACCACACACCCACCCAATGCAACGGCACAGCATCTGACATTTGCATGTGGCCAAGCAAAAGTCAGGTGACACAATCAGGTGGTTCTACCGGTTAGTGTATATATGTACGAGTACGAGTGTGTGTGTTATGTACATTGTTATGCAAGAAATAGAGTATAATAAAGCACGTAGATGTTGCTGATTACTGTTCCCTTTACAGCTGCCTTGTGTTGCTTGTAAACTGTAGGCTCACGAACACACAACCACTCAACCACAAACAACTTCTTTCAGTTTTTTCCACGTTGCAACTTTACACGGGCCCCGTACACTTTGCAATCAGAAACATTCACAGTCGCTAGGGAGAAAAGTGTTACGCTGCACTCGGCTGCTTTTAGTTTGTGGTGCAAGTGCTGTATGCCTTAATTGGAATTGCAGAATGCGTTCAAAGCAAACTGCGAGTGCGTAGGTGTGTTTATGAGCTTGTGTGCAGGTAGCAGGAAAACGTTGTAAACTTCCTGCCATTCAGTTGCCAATTCATTGCACAAATTGCAAATTAAATTGATATTCAATATTATAGGCAGGCATTACTATATATTGTATATACATACATACATATATATATACATATTTACTTTTATATGCCTTACCTTAATCACCAATGGCCGCGTATGTAATGTTTTATAATGGCTTGGCAACTGGAAATGCCTTTAAAAGCTGGCAATAAGCTGGTTGCGCTCATTATCATATTATGTTAAGTAGATCAGTTTATTGAATCAAGGTATCACAGTGGGCTTTAAGATGCTGCAACTGACACAAAGATAGGCAATGGATATATGGTATATATATTATGTATTATATATGTATATATATACCATTTAAGAGACAGTTGGTGCAGCTATATATACAATTATTAATGCAATTTCAGTGTATTAAATTTTATACGATTACTGCCATATTGTGTTAAGTGGCTCGTCATTCCTAGTAGGTTTGGTTCGGATCGCTAGAAAATCGAGAATTATAGAGAAATGTTTATCTTGTAATAGTTCATCCCAAAACTGCCAGAGTATTTCTGACATGTAAAATCGACTGAATTATGCAGGATTAATATTTTAGAAACTTCTTTTAATGACCTTACTCAGCAAAGTGCAAGTTTGATCATCGCAAAAAAATCATGATCTTCAATTCGGTGATACAAAATATACCACTTAATTTAAATTTTTTAAATTTTTATGGTTTTATCCTACACATTTATCTTTATATTTATTTATTATAAAATTTACATCATTAAAAATATACATTCATCCTCTTTCGAACGCACTTACTTCATGTAAATCGGATGACAGATATTAAAGTTATAGCCATTTCAATAAAAGAAAAAGTGTGTAATTTAAATGACGACCAACGGTCAGTTCGTCCAGAAGTTTGTAATTGTGCTGAGTTGGTGGGAAAATAAAAGTAAAATATGAGTAAAACATTATTCGGACAATTTTAACTGAAGATTTGGGTTCTGTTCTGTTCCACATTAAATGAAAACCAAAAAAGTGAACGAGGTTTTGATGATAAAACGGATTTCTCTCCTCAACCAACCTGCGTATTCGCCTGATCTATCATCATGTGAATGTTTTCTATTTTCAAAACTGAAAACCAACATGAAAGGAGTATTTTATGATGATATGAGCTGGAATGCTTTCCAAACAGCAGTAACCGATCTACTGAAAAACGTTCCTATAAATGACATAAAAATCTATGTATGTAGACATTAACCCAGTGTTCACATCTTGAAGTGAGGCGACTATCGTACCAGTAGCGTAGAATTATCGTACATGAAACGAAATTATCGTACTTTTAAAAAGAATGACTATAATTATTAAATAAATCTTATTCAACGTAAAATTAATATTCTTACATATGCTCTCTAGTTAATTACTTAAAATCTATTGCTCTGAAATAAAATAATATTTTTTAACTATATTTTTTGCATATGTGACAGGCCTGTCACAAAGTTTTTTATTCGTAGATTCTGATTTAGTTTTTCTTTTATACATTAAGGACCATACTCGCTTTGCGATGGTTCATATGTTGTGCAATTAACTTTACTTTTTACTTTGTTTGGCTAAAAGAATACCATTAACAGTTGAAACCATCATTTTATTTCGAGTTTTAGTTTTAATTGAATTAATGTGGGTAAATATGCGCTCACTGTCAGCATTCGAATGTGGAAGCGAACATTAACGGCAAACTTGGTATTACATCTCTTGTCTTTTCAACATCGCTTTTTGGGGGTTAAGATTATCATTTAATACAGAAGCACAATCGCGTTGAGCTTCCAGTTACAGTTTTTTTCGAATTACTATTTTAAATCTTGAACGCGAGCACGTTAGCTCAATACAATAACAAGAATAACAGCCAACATTCGAACACAAAATATGCAAAGTCTGTGAAGCCTGAACATAATCGAAACCAAACTACAATATCGATATTATTTGTTCGTTGAACGAACCAGTAGATGGCGTTGTGAGCAAAAAGACGGAAAAAATATTTGCTAGCAGTAAGCGCCAAGAGCTCACGCCTTCTTTTCTTTTTTCCTATAAAAAAAAATCGCCCAATTGTCTGCGAGGGTAGAAATAAGATACATTTTTAATGCATTATAATGAAAATTATCGTACAATCTGCGTACGATAATGATATCATATCGTACATCGTACGTAGTTATGAAATGTACGATAATTATCGTACGGTTGCGATCACTGCATCAACCTCTATTGTCGCTGTTGTCTTGTCTCCTATTTATCTATAGGTAGGTAGGTAGAGTGGCTGTCTAACGACGCACCTAGGCCTATAGTGATACCACCGGGACTAATGTTCCCTCACTCCATCGTCTCCTCTCTGAACCAACCTGTGCTCCTGATGAAGCTCATCAGTACAAATAATTTTATACTAGCAACTTCTGATACGTTGTCAATGAACCCACGACCTATATTTGCGATTCATTTCCTGTATAGAGTTTTACATTCACATAGAAGATGTTTTACAGACTCTTAGTAGTCGGTTTGGGCGACTCACGCTCCATTCCTGCCACGTTAGTCTGCTGGTTGAGCAGGTTATTGATTGTTTCCACTGAGACTCACCTAGATTTCTAGCATGTTCGCTGATTAAGTATTTGCAAGTTGCCAGAGGAATAATATACGCTCTTTTTCAGGGGTTAATTGTAGAGTGGTACCTGTTCTGGCTACTTCATCTGCTTCGTAGTTACCAGGGATATCACAATGCCCTGGAACCCATTGCAGGTTTATCGTGAAATAGGATGTTAGATCCTCTAATAGATCAAGACATTCTTTCACTATCTTTGATGAGATCATAGGAGACTTGAGTGATTTCAAGGCCGCTTGGCTATCCGTATAAATATATATACTTGTATGCTCCTTGTTATGAGTACACGTTTTGTCAATACAACAAGGCTTTCTTTGATTGCTGTGATCACCGCGAATAAACTAAGTATTCTAGAGCCCCTTGTTGTAGGCGACTAATTGGGGGGATTCCCTTAGTCTGAGACCTGACTTTGCTGCTATTTGCTTACAGAACAGGTCTGTTGGCCATAAATGTAGAATGACGTTTAGTGCCCGGCTAGGCGTTGTTCTATGAGCTCCACTAATGCCTATACTGGCTGCTCTTTGTATACTTTCCATACGCCTCACCGCGTATTTCTTATCCATTATTGGCCACCATACCAATATACCATAAGTCATGATTGGTCTAACAACTGCTGTATAGAGCCAATAAGCTATCCGAAGCGTTAGCCCCCATTTGGGGCCCACCATTCTTTTACAGGTGTAGAGTGCTGTGGCTGCCTTCTTCACCCTAGNTCAGGATCCAGAGAAGTGGGGATAACAAGCCTCCTTGAGGTGTACCCCTTTGAACGGATCTGCACATCGTTGACGCTCCCAGCTTTGAAATTATTGACCTGCTCATGAGCATCTGTTCAATTAATTTTCTGAGAGGTTCAGAGATGTCCAGATCCTTAAGCGCACTCAGTATGGCCCTAGGCTGGATGTTATTGAAGGCTCCTTCTATATCTAAGAAGGCAATTAGAGTGTATTCTTTAACTTCCAGAGATTTTTCAATCTCCGCCACCACAGAGCTCAGCGCTGTTTCTGTCGATTTTCCTTTAGAATACGCATGCTGCGAACCAGCCAGCTTATCTTGTTTTAGTTTGTTTCTTATATTTATCTATAACTTGTATGTTGAATATTATGGTACCTTAATTAATTTACAGTAAAGGCAAAGGGTATTGAATGAAATGAAATTTTTTCTCCGTACAAAGCATGCAAGCGCTCTTTGATTTCCCTGTGCTATTTCCCTTCCAAAAACGGGAATCGAATCACCGATCGATATTTTTGACATTATTCTAAAACGCACTGACACATCCGTTTCCGTACGCGGCCGAAACAAAACTATGAGACAGATTCGGTTGAAATTTTGGCAGTAGCCGTTTACGAGAAGTTACTGCGCTCTTGTGATAATGCACTTTTCGGTGGTGAGGACGAGTACTTATTACATTATTATATTGATTAAACTTAAATATTTCGGGGTTTGTATAATTTTGTTGAAACGCAGTGACTACTAGTCCGGGTACTGTACAAATTATTTATAATTAGTCATCCGGTCAAATTTGTTTTTGTTTTTTTTTTTCTTTTCGCTGCCGTTTGACGAGATTGAATTATGAACACCCCGGCTTTGGACCGTCCAGGGTTATTTTTTTGAAGGAAAGGAGTTTGACGAAAAAAAACGTTTCTTTATATATCTTTTTTTTTTAATTTAAAATAAAAAATAGAAATATTGAAAAAATTCACTTTCCGCTCACGGATTTGTAATCTACGCGTAAAAATAAGACGATTTAAAAACAAAAATTTAATTTTTGAGGCCTCCTTAGTTGGGGGACCTAAACTATACATTTACTGAATTATCTACTGTATTTTTAGACAAACAGCTTTTACTGTATAAAAATAATGAAAGCACAGGTTTTAGGTTAAAATAAAAGGAGTGGCTATTCACACGGATAAATAATCAGTGTTACGCAGCACTGTCCTAAAATAAAAAAAATTAGTTTATGCATAAATATAAAATTTTTAATATAGCCGCATTAATAAAATAAAATTATTCGTACGGTAACCGGATGAATAGAGTCAGCCTTGTCGAAAACATACTAAATATGTTATATTTCAATAAAACGACTTTTATGAGCTTTTCATTTTTAATTTTCCAGTCGTAACATTATGTGACGATCCCATCAACCCTGATATCTTTCTACCATCACTTTTAGATCCTGGTTGAACGACTCTCCTTTACGTGACTGCAATTTCCTAAGTTATCTGAAAATTTACTATGATAATTGGCAAATTAGGTACGATGTATTCATAATTTGATGCTTTATAGGGTATATGACTAGAAGAATAAATTGTATTGCTAACACACCGATAATTGAATAAAATATGTATAAGATTTGCATTAATCATAAAAACAAGAGCACATTCAATACTTTCAAGAAGAAATTCGTAATCTGGCAATTTAAAAATATCAAAATTTGCTAACATATTCAGGGCAATACTTTTGTAGGGCTTTGTTATCTTAGAAATTCTTTTTTAGCTTATGATAAATGTACATTAGACTAGATAGATAGATTTCTAAAAAGTTTAAACCACTTGTCAGCGTCCTTATGTTCGAAAACGCCCTTTTATGGGCGTGGTAATGTATTAATTTCCACTTAAATTATGGTCTACACGGACAGACAGATCTGGAAATAAATTGGCATTGTCGTCCGGTTTATTGCTCTTTTTTTTAATTTCGTAATGCCCTATCTAAGCGCCATTGGTAATCCCCATACAGCCACACTGAGCAGACTCTATACGCTAATAACACTTTTAAATATCTTGAGAACTTCACCAATTATACAACCGTCATTTTTCTTACATTAAATTCTACTTTTTAATTCCAATAGTTCTTCATGGAAATATAGTTAAAAAGTAAAATATATTAGGGTACTTGACTTCATTTTGCACACTTCCTTCTGTATGTCGCATTTGCTGCTGTTTTTACAAATATTTTTCAAATATTTAGAATGCATTTCACTGCGCGTGACAGTTTTTCTCATTTAATACTTTTGTAAAACTTATAACTAAAATAAAATATGTCAAAATAAGGAGGAAATCCGTCAGTTAAAAAGTAGATTATCTTCTGCCTGCGGCTTACCTGTTATGAGCGACAGCTAAAAGGTTTAGAGATGGCGAAAACAAGAACAAGTAAAAGTTAAGTATACAACATGGCATCCGCGGTTGCAACTTATCGAATGGTGTTAGATGGCCCAGTAGGAAAAGCGGTTCATGAAAGCAGATGTGCAATATTTTGTTTATTTTTCAATTTCATCACGATTTTTAGTTTTTGCTTTATATAAGAGCACAATTAATTTAATTTAATTAGGTGATACTTATCGAATTTATTTTTCAAACTTGTATATACGATTTGGGAGCTTAGCTACAATATTAGTAGAACAAAAAGAACTTTGCCCCAGATTTCAAAGCACACCAATTACAATTTTTCATTTCGACACAATCTGCTTCTATATGCGCTATACGCTGTCAAAAATAAACAAAAAAACAATTTCAAATAGTTATAATAAAAAAATTTTTGTATAAAATTCAACAAGGTAACTTCATTTTGCTTACATATGTAAAATTTTAGTTATCAGATGGATGGTAATCAATAAGAATCGAGATATCTATTTTTGGGTTAGCTTTTATCTTATAATAAGTTAGAATATATACATATTGGGTCCTTTATTAAGTAACTTCATTTTTTCTGGTGCAAGTCAAATACAATTTCTTTATTGTGTAGTACATTTTATGAAAATATATCTTCTTAATTTTGATTCAATACCTATTCCCATCTTTTGGACAAGAGATTGATTTCACGCTCATAAAATTGTTTGTTCTTGCAGGCCAACAGCTGATTCAAGTGGTTTTTAACGTCCTGATTTGAGGTGAAGGTTCACCCATCCAAAAAACAACACCGGAACAAGTAATAGTGCAGAGTCTGAAGAATGTGGTTAGTGTGGTAGCACATCCCATTCAAGCTGCAAAAGCGTTTGATGAGTCATCAAACTTGTATGAGGTTTCGCATTATCCTGGTGGAACACTACACCTTTTTATTGATCAATTCTGGCCTCTTCTGTTTGAGTGCATCACTCAATTTGTTCAGCTGGTCACAATACACTTTAATTAATCGAGGTATTGTCGGGCAAAAGATCAAAATGGACATTCCCTTAGTAACAATGCGTTTCAAAAATGGATCACGATGACGATTTTCGAAATTTCGTTCTCTAAGAACATGAGGAACCCATATGTCAAGCTTCGAAATTAATCCTAGAAGTTTCATGTGATTCTAAGAGGTCGCGTTATACAAATTTGATCTTTCAGCAATCTCACGAGTTGTTATTCGACGATTTTCTTTTATCCACATCGGAATCTTAAAGATTGAAATTGCCGGAACGAAATTTTGCAAATCAGTTTTGGTATTGGAGTTCGGTCAACACATCTTCTAAGTACACATCACATAAATTTCGTCTTGCTTGAACTGCGTTTTACCCCTTTGAAACAACAGCAAAATATGCTGAAAATGGTGTTTTCGATTTTTCATTTTCTATAGGGCACCAAACAAAAACTATTCCAAAAAATTGAGGAAAACTTTTCACAAACAGGTCTTACTATATCGAATTATTGGACAGATTAGGAGTTGGAAAAATGGCCCATTTGACGATTTGTTAAAAATAGTTCTTTTATAACATGACCAAGCACCGACTCACATCTCCGGCATCACCACGATCAAACTGATTGAATTTGGTTACGAACTGCTGCCCCATTCGTATTCGGATGTTGCATCCGACTTCTTTTTGTTTCCAGAAATTTTCCTCTGCCGACCTCCATATATTTATTTTTCATACGAGTTAAAGTATTAGGAGCATCGTTGAGAAAAATTCCGCAATTTACGTTTTTCTTTTGTGTGCTAAGTACATATTGGACTGCTCGTCTCGTCATTTTTATTTTACGAATGAATTATACAAGTACTTGGTTTATAATTTTGTATAAATTTCCAAGTGGGTCCTCACTTTCTACACGAAGGTGTTTGTAAACTAGTAAAGAAATAGCTGAGTGCTCCACTCCCATTGCTGCTTTAGGGTAGTATCATACTCACTCATACCTGCATGTATTTACGTCAACATTCCCTTAGCATTACTGAAGATGAAATTAAAGGTTGGAAGTTTTCTACGTAGAGGAAATCATTTCATGCCAAGCTAGCGAAAGTGAATTGAAAGAAAACCAATTGAATGGCAGTGTAAATGTTCGTTCGTGAAGGTGAATGGCAGCGAAGTGAGCTGAAAGTTTCTTTCAAAATGTTAAATGAAAAGCCAAGCAAAGAACATGAAAAGTAAATGAATTTGAAAAAGAAATGCCAGGAATAAAATTCGCCTATAAATCTCGTTAAAAAATACCACACAGTGAAAAGGCATATTTGTTGAGTGACAACTGTCAGAAGAATTTCTATGTACCAGCTGTGAGTCGTAATAGTAACCGAATTTATGTAGGCGTATGTATATACATAGTTTATAAATTTTTAGGTAAATTTCAAGGGCATTGTTATACTCTCGCAACATGTTGCTACAGAATATAATAGTTTTGTTCACCTAACGGTTGTTTGTATCACTTAAGACTAATCGAGTTAAATCACAACTTCTTGGAGGTCAATAAATGTCACAATTGCTTGATATTATCGAATCTCCAAACTTTCCTCGCAATAATTCGGTTATTGCACGTGATTTGTGGCACGCAGGCCAATTTTTTGGGAACCAGATGTGGTCAAGATCAACTTCTTCCAATTGCGGTCATAAAAAGTTGGTAATCATCGATGTATACCGCTCTCCATTGACAGTAACGGTGGCACAAGCTTCATTTCCACCTAAGCCACCACTCAGAGGAAAGTAGCCTCATTGGAGAATATAATTTTCTTAACCGTTATCGTTTTCAAGTTGTTCCTAGACAAAATCAGAAAATTCACGATGTTTACGGTGATCCAATGGCTTAAGTTCTTGAGTAAACTGCTCCTTTCTCAAAATCCGCTAGGTTGTGGTTTAAGGCAGTACCAATTCTTGAGATCGTCTTGGAATCGACAAACTGTCGAAACGACACTTACAAATCATATCAATATGAAATTTTCAACACGTTCTTTTCTTTACAAGAATATGCTTATTTCTCAGAACTACTGATACCTGACATTTTTATGCGTTGCTTTAGTTGTGATAAATGGTTGCCTGTCGATTATTAAGCGAATTCTGAAATTAAACAAACAATTTTTACTTTCCGAACGAAAAGTATTATTATTCATTGATAATTGTCTGGCACATCCCAAGAAGGTACAAAGAAAATTAATCCTATTGAATTGGCCTTTTTTTCATCTAATATGACATCCAAATTGCATCCGCTCGACCAGGGCATGATACAAAATTTAAAATTTTACTATCGAGGCAGAATTTTTTAAGAGTCCCAAAATCGTATTGAGGCGAACAAAAAATATGATATTACATATTAATAAAGGCAAACTGCAAATTCCGAAAGGCAGGATTTGGTCAACATTCCGCTTGGGACGACGAAGATAACATACTTTTAATTTTTTTGTAGATGATGATATTGTAGAACCGAATATTTCAGAACCAACGAATATGACGTCTAGCGCCATGGAAAACGATGAGGATTCTGAAGAAGAAAATATTCAACCGCCATCCAAAAATGATGTAACGCATTCCTTTGCAGTTTTAAATTCCTATTTAAATACGAATATTAATACAACTGACGAGCACTACAAAGCACCAAACAGATTAGAATTTCATTTCACTGAAACATACAAGCAAATAATATATGATTAACAAATAAAACTGTATATAAATCTATATTTTACAGCTTTTTGACAAATTGTATGTTTTAATGAAAACTTCTATAACTCGAAGTTTTTTTGTGCATTTTGGTTTTGTGCATATTATCGAGTTAAGGAAGTTCAACTGTATTTTTGTTCTGCAATTTGCAGTGTATCTGACGCTGGGCTAAGTTTGAGTCTAACCGAATAATTAATACGCTCGCAATTTGAAAGGAGAAGAAATACTTTCAGGGGCTAGTGAATGGAACGAACCAGAATTTTGTAGCTTAGTTATGACACTTTATAAGTTTTTGTTTAATGGTGTTTTGTGGGCGTGGGATTGATACGATTGCGCCCATCTGTAATTTGGCTGCCAAGGAACATACATATGTAGCAAGTTACATCAAAATTTCTAAATTTTTATTTAAGTTATCGCTTCCACGGACAAGCAGTCCTTCGGAATTCAACTCGCCTCGTCATCCTGCCCATTTATACCTATATATAGTTTTAGGTGATACAGACAACCGTTAGGTAAACAAAACTATTATACTTTGTAGCATCATGTTGCCAGAGTATAAAAATGTAGCTAGAGGGCTCAACTTTATTGTTCGACGAAATCGTAAATGGATTGCGATCAAATTTGATATCATATTAATTTATTTAGAAGGTCATATATTCACTTAGTTTTATTGCTATATCTTACATCCCGTCAGCGAAAATTATATCGATATAAAAACACAACCGAAAAGGCTAAATTTAATATAGTGAGTTCATGTGAAACCAAAGTATCGGAATTCATTATATTATAATTTTAAAACTTTTAAGAAAACGTGCCCACTTAATTTCATTAAAATATTACACATTTTGACCAACCTAAACGGTTTAATGTCAGGTGGAAAGTCCGAAATCTTTATATAGGATATATTGGTGGCAGAGGAATGGAAGGGCTGACCGCATTAATTTTTGACATTGCTCAGGTATATGAGGTAGACCAAGTTAGATGATTTTTGAAAACAAAAAAAATCATAGTAGCACGAAACCCATCGCAAACGATGATCTTTATTTTTAAAGGTTAAAAACGGCTCTCGATTTCCAATGTTGTAGGCACTACTAATGACTTTAAAAAAATCTGACATTTTGACTTGAGAACTTTGATTGAAAATTTAGAATTAGAGGAAAAATACTTCGAATAAAAACAAGTAAGGAAGGTTCGAGTGTAACCGAACATTTCACACTCTTGCAACTCCAAAGATACTCCAGTATTAGAACAATACGCTCTCTTAATTTCATTAAAATAACTCCCACATTGGCCGACCCATGGGGTATAAAGTAAGCCGGAAGTTCGAAAATCTTTATATTAGGTATATGGGGGCTAAGGGAAGTGTTAACTCGATTCAACCCATTTTTGACACAGGGTTATAATATTACAACTGGGGTCCACATATTCGATATGTGGGGTCTTGAACAGTTGTGGTCCGATTTTGACCATTTTTAGACACGAGATATGTGATTTCACCTAAATGTGGGCGGTGCCACGCCTATCGTTCGGTTTTGACCCTGGCTTCCATAAAGCGCTCTGGTATCATCCTGGGTGTAAAAATTAATGTCTCTGGCGCATTTAGTTATTGGTTTATCGCGCTTTTAGTAGATTTTAACAAAACCGTTATATGGGAAGAGGGCGGGGTGATAATCCGATTTCATCCATTTTCTCACTGTCAGTAGGATTTCTATAAGACAAATTCAATCCCAAGGCCACCAGGACACGAAAAATTACTCCGAAAGTGCTAATGGAGCTACCAAAAATTGCTCAAGTAATGCTCTCCTTGCTTTTTAATGCAATTTTCAGTTTCGGATATTATCCAAATATTTGAAAAAGTGTTACTATCAAAGATGTCGCCTTTCCTCCACGAAAATATGTAATAAAATTCCAATTCATCAATTCGGGTTTCGTGCAAAACATGGCACAGTAGAGCAAGTAAATATAATTGCTAACAAAATTAAAAAGGCATTCGAGTACAGAGAGTATTGCTCAGCAATATTCCTTGATGTAGCTCAATGGAGCTATATATAAATGATCAGGATGAAGAGGCGAGTTAAAATTTGGGTGACTGTTTGTCCGTGCACGCTTTAACTTGAGCAAAAAGTAAGATATCTTGATGAAACTTGGAACACATGTTCATTGGCAAAAATGTAAGGACCAGTTCGCCATTGAACGAAAACCTATAAAGTGTTATAACTAAGCACTAAATTAAGATAGAGAACTGTAATTTGGCACAAGGGATCGCAGTATCAAGGGCACATGTGAGGTAAAAATTTTGGGCGTGGGACCGCCCTCTAAAAGGTTTAATGCATATAGCTCCTTTTAGATGGTATGAGAGGACTTTGTAGGCGCCATGATGAAAACTGGATAATGGGCGTGGCACTACCCACTTTTTGGTGAAATCACATATCTTGGGAACAGCTCGACCGATTTCAATCAAATACGGTATATAAGAGTCTTCTGACATTCGTACGTTACAATGCGAAAATGGGCGAAAGCAGACTTCAACCACGCCTACTTTCCAAGTAACAAAATTGTAAATTTCACCTGCTCAAATCAAGCATCAATGAATGTATCGGGTTAAAACTTTGCACGTATAATGCGTTAATAGTATGCCACCTTATGACCAAAAATAACCCTCAGGTACCGAAAACGTGGACCCTATATTTATAGTTGACTTTTTACCAATAATATTGGTCAATGTGAGATATATAATTGGAATTAAAAATTATACCTTTCCTAATAATATCACGTCTGTATGTCAAAAATGGGTTGAAACGTGCCAGTACTTCCATTAGCCCCAATAAACCTAATATAAAGATTTTTGAACTTCCGGGTGACTTTATACCACATCGCCCAATATGTGAGTTATCCCATTGAAATTAAGATAGCCCGTTTTAATCATAACAATAGATTTTCGAAAATTCAGCGGACCTTACTCCATATGATTAGTGATGGTATGTGAGGCACCTTAATGAAACCCAGTGAGCTTTTTAATAGTCTATGGCATTTTAGTAGGATTTAGATTTTATCAATTTTTGCCAAAACTACAGGCTACTAACATGGCACAGACTAATAAAATGTTCACTACCTTCAATTCCCATATACTACCTATAATGATTTTCGTTATTCTAACAAGTTTTATGCCTAATATGCCTGTCAATGAGTTTATAAATAAAATTGCGTCAAAATATGTTCTCGAGTATACCTGAGCAATGTCAAAATTAATGCATTCAGCCTGTCCTTCTCTTTATCGTCAATATACCGCATAAAATGATTTCCGTCTTTCCACTTGTATTTAAACCGTTCAGGTTGGTCAAAATGTCTGATATTTTAACGAAATTAAATGAACAAGTTTTCTTAAAAATTATGTGGTTTAGCGCTAAATTACAATAGGATTGGTCTAAACCTCATATCTCTAATATAATGAATTCCGATCCTTTGGTTGACGTTTTTCACAATAACTCAATGTATTAAATTTAGCCGTTTCGGTCAAGTTAATATCACATACATATATCTCGTTTAAAGATGTTTTTAATATAATTTAGCTGACGCGAAGTAAAATATAGCAATAAAACTAAGTTTAACTTTGGGCCTTCAATACAAGCCAAGAATATACCAAATTTGATTTTAAGTTATTTACGATTTCGTTGAATAATTAATGGTTAATTCTGTCGCAAGATTTTTATACTCTTGCAACATGTTGTTCACCTAACGGTTGTTTGTATCAACTAAAAATAATCGAGTAAGATATAGGTTTGTATATATATAAATCGATAACGAAACGAGTTGAAATCTGAGTGACTGTCTGTCTGTTCGTCAGTCCATCTGTCTACGAAAAGCAGTTGGTGGTAAATTTTATTCTGATATCTGCATTGGATCTTGATATATAGACTGTAAAGAACCAGACGAAATTCAAAATTGTGTTATATGGGAAGTAGGCGTGGTCGTAGTCCGATTTCGCTCATTGTAAAGAAGTTCTTAAGGCTACGTTCAGACGAGAACTCTTTTCATTCTCTTTTGGAGTCGGTCATTGCGTTCATACGAGCGACACAAAGGTGTCTTCTAATATCAGTCTAACTTTTGTACGCTTCATGTGTGCGGTGCACAATAATATTCTTTGGTTTTTTATATTTTTTATCCTATTTACCCTTTTCTAAAACAGTTATAATTTATTATGAAGTATACATAAACAATGGCATATTACATATAATAAATATATAATAAAATTCAAATTACCGAATATAATGTAAATATTCATAATCATTCTGAGCGCTCTTGTATTCATGAAAAGACTTTCAAAATTTGTCGATAATAATTATTTGGTTATTAGCCATAGTAGAAAACTGTGACCGTTTTCCCTTTCTCCAGGTAATTCATATAGATAAGAGTTGTGAATTACAGAAAATGGAGGCTATCAGCTTTTTGGCTGATAGGAAAGTGTTCGTCTTTTCGGAGTAGGATATCTTAACATGAGTCGTCTACTATTGTTACATAGCAGTAAATTGCTTTTGCGATAGTGGCGTATCGGAAGGTAAGGTTAAGTATTTATACTAGACCATTTAATTTGGACAGAGTGGCGAAATGAGAGTATATTCCAATTGGTAGTAGCATATAAACATGGAGGCTCCTTGACATAAACCAGCTATTGTGGACTCACTCAATAGCTTAGGCGCCAGATGGACACTAGCAAAGAGAAAATAACTATATTTGAAGTCAGGCGGCTGAAAATGTGAATAGCGTTTATGGTTCTGATACTGTCAAAGATGCACCACGCTCTGGTAGACCAATTAACGAAAAAATCGATCAAATAATGGAAATCGACGAGTCCAAACATCGATTGCCATTGTCCAGGATCTAAACATTGCACAAAAAACCGTTTGGAACCATTTTAAAAAGGCTGAATACGAAAAGTAATAAATAAAGCAATTAATTTCATTCAAAAATAATGGCTTTCTTTTTACTACACCAATATTTTGCAAGCTTTATATTCCTATAAATCATTTTCTTTATTTAAATAAATACTTGTTCTCGTCTAATGGTTAATAACCTTTAACATTGTCTTTATATTTTTAAACCTACAATTTTTCCCACGCTCAGATTGGAAAGTGTGATATAAGCTCAAGACCATACTCAAAATGTTAAATGTTTCAAATAAGTGCCAACTTTTCTCCAAAATAAATCCAAAAAATAGTTTTGAAACCCGTTGAGCTCTGAATACGTAATTGATAATTATTTCAAAACAAAAAATTTAACAGGTGGTAACTTCTTCACAAAGTATTACCGACTTTGTACTTTGGTTTACCCATTAGTTGAATTTACAGTTTATAGTGTTTCTTTATTTTATTTTGAAACATCTGATAGCGATAATTTGAATTTTCGAGAGTTTGTTTTTGCGACACATTTTTATTGGTGTTTGATGTATATGTTAACTTATCCTAAATTTGTTAACTTATCCTACAAAACATCTATCCATGGTTGGTCAATCCCTTCCAATTTAGCAGAGCAAAAAGAAAATCACAGACGAATGTACAGTTAAGCGTTCATGTATTTCTTATCTAAAATAAATTTAATTACAAGTAATTTATACAATAATGTAGGTAGGATATACATATTTCATTTTTATTTTAAATCAACTTGAGTTAGTTTTATCAAAATAGTTTAATTTCATTATAAACGATTTTTCATCCATGTATATGTATATGATAACAAGAAAGTTAGTGAAATGCTTTTAAAAGATTACCAAGAGTATAATTAAAATTACAACTTAATACTTAAATAGTTATTAAACTCTTCAATGTGTTCAGTGCAACATCAATAATTATTTTACAGTTTTAACAATAAACTTTGTTGTTTTATGTAGAAATGTGTTAACATCTACGTACGTATACATAAAAATATTTCAATTTAATAGTTTATTCTTATTGCATGCTCCAAATACATCTGTATACCTATATAAATATACATTCCCACATGGTCAATAGTCAAAAACACATATATTTATATACGAGTACATATGTAAACATATTATATTTAGTTTTTTTCTCTGTTTAAAATATCGAATTTTTCTACATACCAATAACAACAATCACAATTTTCATTAAAGGCTATCAAGTCAACCCTTATCAGTAAATATCTATGCCATATACAAAGTGGTGTGCAGAGGAGCGTACATACAGTGTTTTCAACAATTAATGGTAACAAATATTCTCTATGAAATTTACGCACTAGCCTTAACTTATATGTTTCATTCTTTTTAATTAAATTTTTAGGTTATTCTTACCATTTGTATATATCTGATGTGCACAAAACTCCATGTTTTGGAATAGCTTGTAATGTTAGATTTGATATAACCTCACATATAATTTAATTTACTGGATATTTTAATTCATTCGCTTAGTTAACGTAGTTATATATTTTATTTACTGTATTTAAATATAAATAATTTTTAGATAATATTAAAAGATGTAATATATAAAATACTTGCATTTTATTTTATTTTTGTCAGCAACGAGTGTTTAAGAAAAAGTTCCCACGACAGTCGGGTCTACGTAACCGGAACGGACTCGGATTTTATCCGGGCAAGGACTGTTAACTCGGCAGAATTCTGCCGCTACAACAACAATAACAACAACAAAAAGTTCAATAAAGTGGTAAATATTTTGGTAACAAGCGTAGGTTTAATGTTTTGTACAGAAAATTCGACTTTCTCAGCGGCAATAATTTATATTTTAAGACAGAGACAATACTAACATGGTAATAAGAGTGTGTCTATTCACACAATTTTTAATGGATTTAGTTTTAGTTTTTTTTAGGAACGAAAAATTACGTCACTTAAATATTTTTAAGGAGTATTACGGTCCTTTTTATTTTTTTCGCAAATTAAGAAGAGCATGATAATAAAGAATATAACTTTTTCAGTCCTGTTTTGAAAAATATTTTATATTACATATTCTTCTGCTATCGAAGTAGGTATAGAGGGGGGTTTGCTGAAGTGGAAACACATTTTTCTAAATTTGTGGTACTGCACTAGATTCGATACTGCTATAATTGGGTTTCCGGTATAACGATACAACTTGGCAATGGTCTTCGCCGAAATTATAAAATCTTTAAATTTTTAGTAATAAAAATTTCAATGTTGTGCTTGACTATGAAGGTTGTATGTCCAATAGGTCATATGTCGGTAGCAAAACAATAATCAGGTTGAACATATATTTATGTAATTTAATTAATCTCATTGCGAGGCACGAGGGCGAAGAACGTGAGTTATTTTCGTTTTGCACCTAAGAATGAGAGTTAAGAGTCTGAAGATTATCGATATCTAAAAACGTTTAACTACAGAACTAAATTCATCAAATGATTATAAAACTATTGGAAAATGAACTAACATAAGTCATTAATTGAGAGAAGACTTTTTCTTAATGTAGAGAAACGAAGCAAATACTTCAAATGTGTTAGAATGAAAGGTAAAATTATGACATAATTTGCACTCTTTAACACACGTTTTATACCAAAAAAAAAAAAAAATATTTCTTAATAGCGAAGTTCGCAAAGGCAAAAGCTAATTATCAGGTTTCTTACTTGTTGACGTATGCATATGGACATATACTTGTGTATATTATTTAGTTATTGAACTTTCGTGAATCCCCTTGCGACAAAGATAAAGTGTAGTTGATTTTAAGTAAGTTTTCTCATATTTTACACATTGTTAATGAATTTTTTAACTTATATGAGTGCAATGCTTAATAGTGAAACGCTAAGCTTAAATTTATAAATTTTATTCCATGATTTCCTTATCTACATATAGCACTTTAAGGCTGTTATGACTTAGTCCTGGTGCTGATATTGCGTTTTTTATACTGTTTTTTATTTCTTGTTTTTTTTTTTGGTTTTTTGTGAGGACATATATACGGGTTTCTAAATAACATTCATTTTTTTTCTGTAGTTAAATTGCACTCAGCCGCTTAAGATACGTGGTCTAACCATGAATTTCAGCTAATATATTATATAAAATGATACGCAGTTCAAACATTGAGTTTGGGTTTAATGTTTCATCATAAATATTTTGAGGTTATAACGCCTCTGAAAAATCACATTGTCTGCATTTATGTAGGTCGAGAGTGGAATTGTCGTTTAAATTTGTAGCAACAGATCTCTCTCTCTCCCTCTTTCTTCTTATTAATATTAAATTTCTAAAATTAGATGTGTCAATCGTCATCGTTTTCTTATCATCTACCAGGTGTTGCATGAAACACACTTTCCTGTGTCAACTATAATCACGAGGCAAAACAGCCTTGTTGTTTTTTATTCTGGTCATCTTCTGGGTTGCGTCAGCCAAGCATATGTTTTTCTAAACCATCTCTGATACAGTTAATTTACAGCCATGTTTTATCATCTGTCGTAGACGAAACAAAAATGCCACGTGGCGTGTTGGTCGACAGCAATGCAGTTGTTGTGGGCTTTGTTGTCTTTGTTACTGTGGTATCTGTCGCACGACGTTTGTTGTTATTGTTGTTACTGCTGCTGTTGCTAATATCATAGGCTTTTGTACTACCGTTGACATTTTTATATTCCACACCGTCTTCTAGACCATTGCTGCACTTGTCACGCTCCTCAACTACTTTTACACTATCATTGTCGCTGTTGTTGCTGCGTGTGTGTTCATACTGTCAGGATGCAGCACGTACGTTTGTCTCTTCCACACGGCACATACCACTACCAGCATCATCAACACGACTATCTTCAAAGCCTCTGACTTCGCCAGCGCCAAGTGTGGATGGCGGCGGTGTTGTTGTACATGCTTCGGTGTCGGTTGTTTCAACTGTCGCTGGCCACAATGGCAACGACACTTGTTGTGCGCTGCCATTTCGCAGCGCCACTTTGATGGGCTCAGCTTTCATTACGAATCCATATTGTCCCGCACCCGGTGAGCCGCTTAACGACGTCAGCGATGTCAGCTCGTGACTATTGCCGCAGTGACTAATGGTGAAGCGTTGATGATATGCGCTGGTGTTGTTGGTGCCAATTGCCGCTGACTGTCGCATAGGATCTCGATGGGATACTACTGTGGAATTACGTAACACACCTGAAAATAGCAAGTAGTAAATGGCATACAGCAATGGATGGGAGGAAATAGTAAAAACCAAATAAGCTCTATGCAAATATAATATCTAAACTTGTATGTACATAAAAAGGGCTTTGTACGTGGAGAAACTGTGAAAGAGGTTTAAGCTAGTTTGAATTTTGATATCGCCTAACAATTAGCATTGTTCAGAGAAAAGGTTCACACTTTCCATCAAAAGCATCAGCAAGTTTTCACCGTTTTCGTGATACTCCCCAAGACATCAATAAAAATGAGGGATGGAGCGTGAAAATATATAGATCCATGCGCTAATACAAAATTGCAAAATAATCACATAATTAAAGGGACTTTTTAAACTTTTTAGTATGTTTTGATATAAAAGAGTTCCGTTGTATCCATAAAATATTCATGTCGTAAACTTTGTTCTCTTACAAAAAGAACATGAGTCCAGTGTCAAAATTTTATAATTAAAGTGTTATGAACTAAATTTGGATGAATATTGGTTTTTAGGGGTGGCAGTTTTTTAACAGCTTCACCTAGGTGCCTCGAAAACGGCTACCACGGAGGATAAGGTGAAGATTGAAGGTGCGCTAGTTAGCATAGAATGCCTACTACATTATAATCTGCATGAATAATTAGATATGAGAAAGCCGTCACCGTGACAAGTTTGCTTTCTTCGGAAAACTAGTATAACCGTGAGCCCACTTCATATCAATATTTGATGTTGTGCATTCGTAGTTTGAAGAAATTTTATCGTGACAATTATAGGTGATGTCTACCATTTTCTGAGATTCACGAGTTGTGATTTACATCGACTAACTGAGTAAGGGTAAAATGGTCACAGGGCTCTACTCTGCCACATTAAAGGACTGATGCAGACAAAGTGGCATAACTTGGTAAAAAAGCGTGCTCTTCTGTCAAATGACGGTGTTATCAGTGCAGCTATAAATACTGTTTCAGAAGGCGTATTCGTTAGGGGGTTTGAAAAGTCAGCGTCTCACACTATTAAATTAATAAAATTTTAAGCTAAATATCTATCGCACCGCCCTCATATATATGCACATATACCTATCTCTCTTAGTTATAAATATATAGATGTTTTAAAATTTTTTTATTAATTGATTAATTGATTTTGCCGATAAAACCATTTGTTCTGTATTTTTTTTTAAAAGTCCTGTTTACTTTGGAACGCACCTTGTAGTTACAAAACTACAATACTCTATTGTACTTATTATATGTACATATGTTGGGTATGAACTAAATTTCAATATATTTCCTGCAAGGATAGTGAATGGTGTAACACTGTTGCCAACTGTGTAGTCATTTCTAATCCAACTGGCTAGCCAGAGGCTTTCGTCGTAAAACAAAAAAGATTAAAAACCGCCCAGTGTTGGCAGTCACTCGAAGCTGCTTGTACATGACAAGAATGGGCAGTGGCTCAACATTAGACAGCCTTAGTTGGTGTTATAAATCCAATGGTGACATGTTGTTGGCAGCAGATAAATCTCACACACACACCACACTCATGCATTGTGGAGGAATTGCGGAATTACTAGGAGTTCAAGCGATAAAACTTTGTTTCTTTTTTATTGGATGTTGAAGCTGATTGGTACATTTTTGGCAGGATATAAGAAAAACTTACTTCATGTGGGGATGGAAAAGTTAATGGACAATTAACATAAATGTCAGATGATGTTAGGTTTTTAAATTAATTCGAAATAAGTTTAATTTCAGGCTCATGTGTGATCTTTATTGTTCCTGTTTTTGGTAAGTACTTCATTAAATTAATATAAAATGTCCATTAATTGGTATCAACTGGTTTTGGTTACAATGCGCTAATAAAAAATGAGGCGGTGCTTCTGTTGTTTCCGATGCTGCTAAATAACAAATGAAGAGAGCATTTCGCTAACGACTACAACAACAATCAGTATTTGAAGTAATGCTCTTTAGACTAATTGGCGCGATTATAAATGTTTACTACAACTGATGTTAATGACATCCAACAATTTAATTACTAAACTTATTTAGACTTGCTCTTGCTAAAATATTAATTAGGGGAAGGTGGAGAAAATTATTATTAATTATTATGAAACTACTGATAGCGATCGGAATACCGCAAACGTATGCGACGGTCCACAAAAGATTTGAGAACGGTTCAAGATTTTTAACCACTTAAAGACTGTTGTAAGATTTATGGTTCTTTGCGCATTGACTGCACGAATACAGCAGTCGATGTTCAGAGAAGAGACAGCGGCTACGCTGGCAAGGCCATGTTGTCCAGATGAACTCCACTCCGGTTGCACTTAATATCTCCAATTGGCGCCAAAGCAGAAACGAAAGGCGTGCTGTTGTTAACTAGGCTATAACCGCGTAAGCGGTGTCTACGACAGTAAAGAGTAAAGTAAGTAATGTAAAGACTGTTACCATGGGTTCACAGCAAGTAAAAGCTTCTGCTCGTTATTTACTTAAAGTTTATTAAGTACCATAATTCATTTACTTACCATAATGTGAGGCCACTCGATGCTTTTTTGGCGAGCCCGGACAGGTGTATAAAAATGAGCGCTGTGTATCTGGAAGAGACACACAAAAGGATGAATTGACTGGGAATGATCCAATAGGGAGGTGAGTTAAAATTAAGTCACATTGTTGACAAATGGATGAATATTAGACAAAAGTGACGTGACATGAGAAATGTGTGATGGTTTCGGGAAAGAAGATTCAAATGAAAAAGTGATTACGAAATTTCGATTAACATTCTAAATTAACATTAAGCTTGAAAATTTAATTAATACATATCAATATATAGCACTTACCATTTCTCTTGATGCGATTATGATCCGGTGAACCTGAGCATGAGTATCGCGAAGTCATATTGTCACGCCGATTTAAAGATTCAGCCCCGACTTTAACAAACGGGCACCAGCGGAAGAACCGCTTGAAGCCGTAACGGAATCTGTTAAAAAAAATAGTGTTTAATAAATCCCAGAGTGCGCTGTTACTTATGTCGATGCATCACTACTGAGCTTGCATCTGAAGGTGACGGCTCAGCTATTATTTCAAGATGCTGCTTTACGGCTACCCTGTACAAAGCAGCGGATTCAGCTTCATGAGTAAGCGAGCCGTTGGGTACATCAGCTTAAGTGCGAGCAGGGACACTATGGTATGTTTGAGTGCTTATTTTCATTCATTCTTAAGTTTATTCCATCAGCTGCGGCACATAATGCACTTAAATAAATTCTACCAAATTTGTGGCTGTGCATAAATGTCATTACCACAACCAGAATACTGGTAATAGATTGAAACATGCTGCTGCGCACAATTACCCAAAAGGATTAGTACACGGCAATTACCGCAAACTAAATGTATGGGCAGGACTATATCTCATTATATAATACTAATGCAATTATTTTCGGCTTTTCGATGATATAATGCTTATCGAAATTAGTCTATCCAAGTCTTCCTCTATTGCCTTTTACTCAAAAGAGCTCTGGAGATACATATATAACTACTCTTTTATGAAAGTCCATATAGTATAAGTAGTCATAACTATTTATAATAATGTTATGTTTTGTGAATGAAACCACGAAGACTTTCCGAATACTTGGGGTTTGATCACTAATTCCTGAGTAAATTTCATCAAAGATTTTCCTAACTCAACATTTCTTTATTATACAAGTACAATTACAATAAATTTTCGCTGAAAACGGACTTCTTTTACGAACTACTCTAATCAACACTTTGACACAAAATTGTGAATACCTGAATTCCTATCTCATTTGTTTGTGCTTATCTAAGATTTAGGCGATATTATTTCAAAGGTTCAGTTCCGAATATTTTCTTTAACTTTTTCATTAAGTAGTTAGTATTAGTTAAAGTCGTAACGAACGAAGCATTAAATGGTTAAATGCTGGGTACAACAAGTTTGTCAAATAAAAAGTATTTATGGATGTAACAAAATGTTTAGTTAAAGTTACTTAAAGCTTTGAGACATAGCAATTAGGAATTAAAATTTTAGTAAGACGATCAGAAGACATATGCACACTTTGTGTAGAATTTTAGAATTTCTAAACACAATTTTTATAGAGAATCTAACGATGTTGGAATAGTAAGTCAACCTCCAAAATTCAATAGTGAACAACAAATATTATTTTCAGTCTTAAAAGTACCTTTAGACCATGATTAGCACTACAAATATATGCGGTAATTCAGTAACAAGAAGTAGAAGTTTCGTAGTGATAAAAATATATGAGAACAATGGACTGGCCACGGGATTACATATTTACAGTGAGTAAAGCTTGCAAAGTACGAATCTGTAGAAGGGACCTTATACATTCATACATACATATATTTGTATATATTGTACATATATATGCATAATTTAGTAAATCAGCTGAAATAAACCTGTTCAACAAAAACATCGCCTGTGCTACAGATGGAAAAATAGTTGCATAGAATGGAATGAGCGGATAGACCAATAGCTCTAAGCGTAAGTATAAAACTATAATGGAGTTAAACAATAGTGCTTTTGCATGCAAGATAATAGGTATTCTATTGTTATTATAAATTCTTCTCTTTGAATTGAGCTCTTAGTATTCCTTCGATTATCGAAATAACCCTTACTTTTTACTTCAGCACAAAATGTAGAATGCGGTAGGCTCCAACTACTTTGCTCAGTTAATAAAATTTCTCAACCAAATAAGCAAAGTTTGTTAGCTTGTACTTCAAAACCTTCATTTTTGAGGAAAATCAATTACTAGCTTGCAGCAAAGTTTATGTACAAGACCGAGGTTTATGCAATTTACCCGGAAAGCCTTTCTATTATACGTGTGTATTGTATACTGTGAATATTGTAAAAAATTGCATAAATTGAAAATTTCACATCTATCCTGCACTGCCAAGCGAGGAAAACTTTTTTATGTGAATGTCACTCACCCCTTTTGAATAAAAACGTGTCAACTGCAGGACTGGCATTTGTAATCTTGAATATACTTACCTTGAGTTCATCCAGCAGTAAATAATTGGATTATACATGGAGTTACTCATGGCTAGCCAATAGATGCCTAAATAGACTTCCTGAATGAAAGGAGTCTGTGTCAGCGCCGGATAACATGATGTGACTATGAAATAAATGTGAAAAGGCAACCAACAAACGGCAAATATCAGCACCACAACCATCATCATTTTCACCACCTGCAAGGGCGAGAATTCAAAATAATTGATAAATGATAGAATGGCAATCAATTTCAGTGTAAGCAGATAGAAATATACATTCAATGTATGGTAAATATCAAACATATCATTAACTCAAAACCTTACAAAATTTTGTAGATAATTAGATAGTTGTATATGTATGTATATGAAGGCTGGCAATATAATGGGTATTCGAGATATACGGCGACTTCTGATGCTTTCCATTGCCGGATTTGGCGCAGTTGAAGTCGACGAACTACAATATTACTGAATTATTTAGTTACTCTCTGTGGAATACGACCAAATAAAGTTGTCTACCAAAAAGTGATTTAAATGCTCTCTGCTCAATCAAAAAGAAATGCGATCTTATAGTTCGTACTCATCATCTTGAAATCCTAATGAAATCCATCTTGTTAATGAAAATATTCGAGGCAAAAAACACCGAACCTGAGGATTGTTTTGATAAAAAACTTTACTTTTATTTAAAATGATACCCACTTTTCAGCCTGCCTGCTGTAGAAATATTTCTCATATTTAAGGACTTGTACTTACCCTACGCTTGCTCCGAACATTCTCCACCTGTCTAGGCGTATACTCTCCGATTGTCTTTGATCCCCAAAGTTCAATGCCAACTCGTGAATAAGTGACCGTCATAGAAATGATGGGCAGTATATACGTGAGAATCATAAAAACGATATTATAACTGTAAAAAATGTAAAAGAGCAAAATAAAATGAGCGAGAATATAGTATAACCTTATTTCCAAAATTTATAGCGACCCTTAATTTATGTTTGGGCAATTTTGTATACAAATAAATTTATTATTGCTTTGGGAAATTAAGTATACTCGTAGTTAAATAAATAGCTAATACAAAATGTCGGTTGGGAATTTGAAAAATTGCTTGGCTATTTATTTATGCACTCGTAAGGGCATTGCTTTTCTTCTCTCTGTTTTGTTCTCTTTCAAGGCATCACCTTAGGCATGGCACCTTAGAGGAGTTTATAATTATATATATATTTATTGTCAAAATATATTCGCTTGACTAAGAATTGGTAACGTCTCTTCCAGTCTGTACTGGCACTACTTTAATTTTGTGTCAAATAAAACAACTAAAGATTTATTAATTTACGATAAAAGAAAAAATACGAGGCACTCTTTAAAAGAAAATTTTTTTTTTTTTAAAACGGTTCCTTTAGCTCGACATTCTTGTTAGAAATTTTTTGGAGGTTTTCAAAGTAGGCCCTGTGACGTAGATAACCTCCTTATTAGACTGAAATCTCATCAGAGGTAGTAGAGTCGAATGTGACCGTTTGGCTCTGCCATAGGTGGTTTATTCGGAGCATGCTCGCCGGGTCCTCTGTTTCAACTGTTCCTTATCCTCTGGTGTGTACCTGTGGATCCATGTTTAGTTGCACTTAAACAGCGTCAAACACTTTTACCGTCACCATTGAAGGAGATTAGTCATTTTATTGCGCATTCTAGCGCTCATTGATTTCACTTCGAGATATCTCTTCTAAAAACAAGAGAAACCCCGACCGATATTTCCTTTTTCTATGTTTTTAAAATATGAACACACTCACTTTAACACCCGATCAAAACAAAACTACAATTCTGATTCGCCTCCTACGTGAATGACCTATATGATAGTAAAATTCTCTTGTAATAATGGCACATTTGATCATTCTAAGTACTTATTTAACCGTCCCCCTATGTGTGGTAAACATATCTATGTGTAATTCGCTTATATTTTAACACAAAGTTTAGTGTCAAAAACACTTGTTGAAACATTTCCCCCAAAATCCATGCTATTATTCGATCATTCTTTATAACGCAACATATACCATACTTACACATATTCCTGTTGCGAATGATTCGTAGGACCATCAGGCCACTCGGTATAGCATACAATTCGGGTACCATCCTTCAGTTCGACTTCGCCGGTTGTAAAAAAGAGCAACATCGGGCATGATATCGTAATTGACGCTATCCAAATGAACGAGGCGATGCCCAGATTACACCGCTTACTCATACGCGGTTCCAGTGGCTTCATGATGGCAACATATCTGAAAGGAGGTGAGTGTTAGAGAACACGAGAAAGGGAGTCACAGCTAGGAAAAGTGATGGGTTTCAGTTGCAAAATGTTGGCACCCAATGTGTTGTCCTTGCATGTTTATATGATATATGTATTCAATGGAGGGGTGAAATATTTAATTTTATTTGCATCAGACTTTAGCGTTACTGCTGCAGTCCTTCGCTGAGGTTTATTCATCTCACCTGTCGATGGATATCGCCATTAGTGTAAACACTGAAGCGCTTATGCTCAGCGTTGCTATAAATTGCGATATTTTGCAATATAGTTCACCGAAAGGCCAATCGTTGTCCAGCATGTAAATATAATTGAACGTCACGTTGAGACTGGATACCATGGCATCCGCGATGGAGAGATTCACTGAGAAGAGAGTGTGGATAGTAAAGGATTACTGAGTTAATTGAAGTGCCTTAAAAGGGGAACATCATTAAGGAATTTTTGAGTAATTGATTAGAGAGCGGTCAACCATTATTATTTTGAAGTGCTTTGCGGCGTAATTTTTCTAAATAATATTATGAATTTCAAAAACCGTATATAATATACAAGTACGTCTTCGATTACATGTAACTTGCTAATGACATTAAAGTTTCATATCTATTTACATTCATCTAACTTTCGCGTGTTTGGCGGTCTTTCCGTTCTCATTTTTACCTCGCTGCTATAAGTGTAGGCATGTTATATATGCGAGTAGGGATAATCAATTTTTGCGATGAATAATTTTACATGAATATACACCTTCAAACTCAGTTTATGGTGATTTGTTCACACGAAATAGACGTAATAGTGAAAAAGCCTTGTAATATTTATACTAAAATCACAGTAAAATTGCAAAAGACATGCTATTGCAGACAAATTACTATTAAAGGTTTAGTGATGCAATTTAAATAACTTAAAGCATTTTCAACTGTAATGTTTTTAAACAGGTGAAATTGAGCCATAAATACACCTACGCCTTATATAGCTATGTGTTCGAAACTACTGTAAGTCCGCTAACTCTCTAAACAAGAATGAATGAAACGTTAAATTTAAGTAGAATGTCCATATTTAGATGAAAATTTATTATTTCGGAAATAACTCAACTAACCTGCTTTAGTAGTTAGTTTATATAATTCCCAATCTATTGTCAGCTTTTAATTATGGTCAAGGACATACGGTAACCAGCCACTTTGCATTTGTTTTTCATCAGACTCAGTTCATATTCATTGAAAGAATATTTGAATAACCAATAGAAAAAATAGAGCACATATAGTATTCCTGAAATATGGCTATATTTAATAAATAAATAAGCGGGATCTCTTTATACCTTTCCTTAACACTATGAATCGAATACATATGTATATACATAGAGCTGGTTTCGGCAATCTCGCGCAAGTACTTATATACAAGTATTAAGGTGCCCGTTATATTAAACGTTGCTTGTTTTTTTGCAAACGTCCCCTAAAGTTATAGTTGTTGCCCTAAACAAGAATCAAACAAAAACAGTTTCTTCATTTTCAATTTAAACCGTGTAATTAAGATTTTATCTCCATACCAAATAAATCTATAACTTTGAAAAAGTGATACTCCAACACAAAATTTCCCGCTTCACAAAAAAGGTTTTTTTTCATATAAACATTCTTTTAAAAGCTATACGTAGTTTGTGCATCAAATTCACTGTACTCATGTAGTATACCATGTCGTATGTTATGAGCAACGGAGATTGTAAAGGGTGTTTTTTTAGAGGTATAGAATATTAAATTGCAATAAAACAACGATGGATTATTCGATTGACATGAATTTTATTTTTCCGAAAGATAATCTTGTGGCATTACATTTTAATATGATTTGTGGCATATGACTGCCACGGCTGGCTCGGATGTAGTCAATCTGGATTTCCAATTTTCTACGACTTTTTCCAACAATTGTGGACGTAGGTATATCGGCGAATGTTGTCTTCCAAATGATTAAGCGTTTGTGGCTTATGCGCATAGATCAATGATTTTACATAACCCCACAGAAAGTAGTCTAGCGGAGTTAAATTACAAGATCTTGGAGGCCAATTCACAGGTACAAAACGTGAAATTGTCACCAAACGTGTCTTTCAATAAATCGATTGTGACACCAGTTGTGTGACATGTTGCGCCGTCTTGTTGGAACCACAGCTCCTGGACATCATAGTTGTTCAATTCAGGAATGAAATAGTTAGTAATCATGGCTCTATACCGATCACCATTGACTGTAACGTTCTGGCCATCATCGCTTTTGAAGAAGTACGGACCAATGATTCCACCAGCCCATAAAGCGCACCAAACAGTCAGTTTTTCTGAATGTAACGGTGTTTCGACATACACTTGATAATTAGCTTCACTCCAAATCAAAGGTTTTGTTTGTTGACGTAGCCATTCAACCAGAAGTGCGATTCATCGCACTGGGTAGTGCAGAACCATTATTTTCGAAATAAAATTCCACTATTTGCAAGCGTTGTTCAGGCGTGAGTCTATTCATAATGAATTGCCAAACCAAACTGAGAATAAATCACTTGGCAGCTGTTAAATCGGTCGCCATCTTGAACAGTAATGCCAACTTAAAGTTCTACAAGTATACCTCGAAAAAAACACCCGTTATAACTTTAATTGCGTATAACTTTTAAAGGAAAGCTTTTTGGAAAAATTATAGATATTTTTTGTATGAAGTTTGAATTATGTTTCCGTTTTTGAGTATGGTTTCAGTACAACAATGTGTACTATAATAAAAACTCAGGAACCCACGTACCAGCATAGTGACACACATATGTTTTTTTTGAGTTTGATATTCATTAGCTGATGCAAAAAAAAAAATCAACTAAAAGGAAATAAATATAAACCAGCAAAATGAAGCAAATTGCTTCTACCAATTTTTATACATTTTATTACCTGAGGAGGAACAAAAATATATCTCTATGAGTATTAAAAAGGACCAAGCAATATACAATTTTGTTTTCAAGAAAAGTGCCTAGCAACAACAGTCTTTCCATTTCTTGTTTTGTAATTCTTTTAGTTATTTTGATTTAATTTTTTTTACATGTCAAAATTAAAGAAATCATATGATTATGACAGAAGGGCAGATAAGAGCAAAAAATCCCTTGTAGTATTAGGTCAAGTAAAAAGTTCGTTCGGTTTTTATCTAAGAGATGGTGTTATTGGCCATAGTACTAGTGTTACGTGTCGCATCATGTCATACTATACGGCGCTGAAAACGTGTTTATTCGCGCTAAAAGTTTGTCTTTGCCAGTTTTTCGATTGATTTACTCAGTTCGTTGTGAGCGCTCGTCAAAGATGGACAGCAACAAAGAGAAAATTCGCTATATTTTACAATTTTTCTTCGATCAAAGCGAAAAAGCAGCCAAAGCGGCTGAAAACATTAATTTAGTTTATGGGCCCGATATTGTAAACGAACGTGTAGCACAAAAGTGATTTGCTAGGTTCCGTTCCGGTAATTTCGATGTCAAAGATGCACCACGCGTCGGGAGGCCTGTCGTCGAAAATTGCGAAAAAATCATGGAAATAGTGGAAACAGACCGTCACGTGAGCACTTATTTAATTGCTGAGGAACTAAAGATAAGTCAGAAAACCGTTTGGAACCATTTGATTAACCATGGATTCAAAAAGGAGCTCGATGTTTGGGAGTCACACGAACTAACGCAAAAAACATGATGGACCGAATTTCTATCTACAAATCGCTGCAGAATCGCAACAAATTCGACCCGTTTCTGAAGCGGATTGTGACTGGCGATGAAAAATGGGTCACTTATGACATCATCGAGCGCAAACGGTCGTGGTCAAAGCTCGGCGAAGCGGCCCAGATTGACCGCCAGGAAGGTTTTGCTGTGTGTTTGGTGGGATGGGCAAGGAATCATCTACTGCGAGCTGCTCCCCTATGGCCAAACGCTTAATTCGGCCCTCTACTGCCAACAACTGGACCGCGTGAAGGCAGCACTCATCCAGAAGAGGCCATCTTTAATCAACAAAGGCCGAATTGTGTTCCATCATTACAACGCCAGGCCACACACGTCTTTGGTGACTCGCCAGAAGCTCCTGGAGCTCGGATGGGAGGTTCTAATGCACCCACCTTATAGTCCGGACCTGGCACCAAGTGATTACCATCTTTTCCTGTCCATGGCGAACGCGCTTAATGGTGAGAAGTTGGCCTCAAGAGAGGCCTGTGAAAATTTGCTCTCCGAGTTTTTTGGCAATAAGGACGCAGTCTTCTACGAGAGGGGTATAACGAAGTTGGCATCTCGTTAGCAACAAGTTTACGAACAAAACGGCGCATATTTGACATAAATCGGACAAATGTACACAAAGTTATCATTTTTTTAAAAATCAATAAAAAACCTAACGAACTTTTTACTTTACCTAATATAACAAAAAAAATAATTTAGGCACGGTTTAAACTGAAAATAAAGAGCTTGATTGGATCCTTTTTTATAGCAAAAACTGAAACTTTAGGGGGCGATGCAAAAAAACAATCAACTTGGGAAATAACGGACACCCTATTGTATATGTGTAGAGGTTTGTTTTTAGGCACCTGAATTTGCTGATGTTCGCTGCAAATTGTATAAACTTTGTTTTGCACATAAGAACACATTTAACATCTATTGCAACATATACAATATTTTCGACAAATATATACCAATTTTCGAAGTCAAACAGAGTCACCCGAATAGTCTATGCGATTTAACTTTTGCTTCTACGGATAGCGTAATAATAAAGAACATATGTGCATGCAGTTTTAGCATAAAATTACTGTTTACGCCACACGCCCTTACGACATTGATATAAACGTATATATACGTATATATGTGGCTATTTTTATAAGTAATCATATGAAATACATATATTAAATCAAAATCAGAAAAAATTGCATATATTATTATGTCAATTGTTATGAAATTTATTGTTTGCTTAGTTATTATATCCAACTGAACTCACCTATGAAATAATTGGTAACGGTTCGCATTCTTTTCGTCGTCATAACAACCCAAACGACAATTAAATTTCCTCCTGTTGCCACCAAAACCATGCCACCGAATAAAATAGACCACAGGACTTGGCGCCACCATGGAAGAATGAATGATATGTCATCGTCACTGCAATAGAGGAAGGCAAAAGGGGCTGGTTAGAATAAGTTAGAAGAAAAATGGTGCAAAAAAATCAGCAATTAGACGTAGACGTTGCAAATTAACCATATTCCTATTACATAGGAAAAAGATTGAATAGGTTTGTTTTTTGTGACCATAAACGTGCAAATACTAAGCGTCATAAAAATTTGTCGTTTAAATTACAATGTGCAAAACATCCTGTGCCTATATATATTTATTATTGTTACGTGTACGAGGGGAAATTCATAAAGACCTAACGATATTACAATATCTAAAATATCTATTTAAAAAAAATAAGCCATGTGCCCGAATCTTGGTCAAACGAATAATACAGTAAATTTGCGAATGAACAAATAAAATTATTCTATATACACCCTGTGTATATTTAATTTATATTGTTATGTATACGACGCTATTCATGAGGAATAATACAATATCTTCAAAAATTAGATATACCAATGTACTTAGAAATATATGCAAGTTGATTGTACTTTCGTCGAGGTTTGTGACATTACTTAAAAAATACATAAAAAAAGCTTTAAGAAACGGAAAATTTTAGCAGGTATGAATTCTCCCTTAAACAAAACCATCTTTTTGCTAATCAATATGTCACGTGCATTTTCCTAATTTTTGTATCGAATATATAATTCTTTCTAATCATTTTCAAAAAAAAACAAGAAAGGAAGGGCTAAGTTCGGATGTAACCGAACATTTTATACTCTCGCAAAGTCAAATGGTATACTCGTTTGAGATTTCTTTGTGGATTGGCTGATATTTTCGGTAGAAGGTCAACTATAGGCACTGGGGTCCACATATTTAGTACTTAGGGGCTTGAACAGTTTTGGTTGGATTTAGACAATTTTTGGTCACAAGGTGGCATACGTTAAACGTATTATTCACGCAAAGTTTTACCCCGATATGATCATTGTTCCTTGATATGCATAGTGGAAAGTGAAAGAATCAGATGGAATTGAAAATGGTGTTATACGGGAAATAGGCGTGGTTGTAGTCCGATTTCGCCCATTTTCGCACTATAACAAAAAGAACGTTACGCACCGAATTTGGTTGAAATCGGATAAGCAGATCCCAAGATATGGGTTTTCACCTAAAAGTGGGCGGTGCCACATTTACTGACTAATTTTGAACGCGGTTCCATAAAGTCATCTCATAATATCCCAGAGAATAAATTAATGTCTCTGGCGTGTTTAGTGCTTGATTTATCGCGCTGTTAGTAGTTTTTAACAGTACCGTTATATGGGAGTGGGCTTTCAACTATTTTCACACTGTAGGTAGAGGTTCTAAAACATTTGCTTCCAGTGAATTTTGTTATTATAATTAGCGGTTTATTTGTTTTGAATAATGGCGTTTTGTGGGCGTGACAATGGTCCGATTACGCCATCTGCAATACCAACCGTGGCTAAATGAGCCTACGTCGTCCGAAAACTTACACCAACACACCTCACACATCACTGACACGCAACATTCACCACATCACCTCTCGCAACATTCACACTCACCTCACGCAACATACACCTCACACAACGACCCTACCACCCAGGATACACACACACCGGGCGATCACCCCACCAACCATCAACAAAACCACGGACATTAGAATCGGCTTGCCTCTTTTTCGTTTTGAACTCGCAGCGAAAGCACCGTCATCCGTGGATTCGTCACATCAGCGGATCTGATCCGAACCAGTTAAATTGCTATCAAAGGCATTTATATACATTTTTTTCTCTTCTCTGCGCTGCGTCGCAAGTGATTGTGGTATTAAGGGAGTGTATAAAACCCGTACTTTCAATTACAAAATAAAATTACAATTGTATTAAAAGCGAAAGGTGGTGAGTGTATAAGTTTTTCTTTGAAAACTTTTTGAAAGAATTATATATGGTCCTTCGAGCCTAAAAGAAAGGCACTATCGATTTACAAAAAAAAAAAAAAAAAAAAAATCAAATTTATATATTATATGGTGGTATAGTATATGCAAAAAGCCAAAGTGCAGTGGAACAGTGAGAAACCAAAAAAAACAAAAAAAAACAAAGCTACCTAAAGTGTTAGTTCAGTGCAGTGTTAAAACAAAAAAAAAAAAACATCCAAAGTGCTGTGTAGTGTACTAAACATATAAAAGCATATCTACAGAAAGTTATATACATATACATATATACAAGGTGTTTCGCTTGGTGAACAAAAAAAAAATTTATATATATATAATAATAATATCGACTTAAAAGTGGTGTGACAAAAAACAGAAATATTAGATAAATACTTAAACTACATATTAATTACATACAAATACACAATAAACAAACGGGCGCGAAAATAATGCCAAAATCAAACCGGGCGCGATCCTAACAACAAATTTAATTTCATACAAATATACATTCGGGCGCGGAGCAAAAAAAAAAAAAAACACCACAAAAAAGCAACACCTAGC